GTATCCAAACACATTTAACTTTATTTATCATCTTTCTTCCCCATTTGGAAACAGCAGGCATCTGTACATGTTGAGCTTTTATGCGTGAGTTTATGTGGAGAGAGAAAACAGAAACATTGGTATCTTTCATTACAGGCAGGACTTCAAACATTGCGGAGGAGTAAGATCAATAAACACTGAACTGTCCCGTTATTGAGCTCTGAAGCTTCAAATTTAGGTTCATGTGCTTTTGAAGAAGAGGAGAGTCCTTAACAGAATTCTCAAGGACAGAGCAGAGGACGTCCATATTGTGGATTTACTGAGGGTTCAACCCAGTGTGCCGCCATTATATATCAGCCATAAATTTTATCCCAGAAGATTGTAAGTAGTGGCCATAACTCTCCCTCTAATCACGCATCCCGGTATGTATGGAAGCATCAGTCTTCCCACGGCGCACGCTGCTCCGGGAAACAGCTGTTTTTCAAACACTGAAATGAGGCTTTGGGGACAATACGCTCATATATCAGGGGATTTTCAACATCATACGTTACATAACGTAATTATTGAGTCATTATCAGTGATGTTTCAATTTAAACATGAATGATCATCCTGCCGGTGGATTTTCATCAACACGTTTGTGAGAGGAGCTCTCTCAGCTCTTCGCTCTGACTAGCATACTAATACATGAGGCATATGCTCCTTTCTAAGATGTCCTCGCCGGTGTGTCCTTGACCACTCGTCCTGAGGAGGTGAGACTGCCATAATATGGTTCTGAGGAGGGATTAGAAGTCCCATCTGAAAATCCTTGAATGTTACTGATTAATGGGGCAAATGAGGACCCAGTGGCACAGGTAATAAACCACAAACAAAGGTGACTGGGACCTCAGCTAGGCAGCTCAAGAAAGGATTTCATGGAGGGAATACTGAACATGAATACATCATTGTGCCTTTGTGTCAGAGTTTGATTTCCCAGGTGAATAGTAACATACTTCAACGGGAAATAAGAACTTCCTGTTTGTGCGTTAACATGCTGGAATTTAAGCCTTTGTTGGATGGACAAATCAAATGTCAAAAAAATAGCATTGACAGGCAGATTGTTGTAAGTTTATTGTGTGCTACAATGTGTTTGAAGCCAGTCTGCACTGTTGCTTTAGTGTAGTTTGTGAATGAGTCATGCATCAGAGTATATTTGTCTGAGGGGGTGTAAGTATCTCTCTGCAGTGTAGTAAGACTTCCATGGTTACAAGCCAACTGTTGAGTTAACCTGCAATTAAGTGTGGAGAGACAGGTGTGGATGCGGATCAAAGGAAACTTCATAAAGACTTCCTGTTCCTCGAGGCAATTCACAACAAAACATAATTAATCACTAAATCTCATTAACAACGGTCCAAAAGTGCAACTTTATAGTCAACTTTGGAACTTTTTTTTTGCAGTCAGCTTAAAAATCTCAAAAAGACTTCATTTTTTTAGAGGAAGTAGTAAAGAAATGTAAAGTTTAAAACGATGCTGACAGAGAAAGAGCAGTTAAAGGCCGCCTGTGATCACATTTAATGCTAAGAGAACTATAAACGGTTATACCCATCGAATTTATATAAAGTTATCCTCTGGTGACTTAAACCTGCATCCCTCCTAATGACCAGCAGAGGCTCCATTGGCTAAAGACATTGGCTCTATATAAAGATGGTTGAGGCACTTCCATCTCCTCCTGCAATTATATATTTGCACATTTGGAGCCAAAGAGAAGCCAAAACCTTCACTAGGAATTTCCATTTTGGCATGACCACTTGACTGATTTTATTGCGATGTATTATTATGTTTTATTTGGTTTTATATTTTGTTGTGCTGTCTTATTTTTTTAAATTCGTTTTCATTTATGTTTTACGGTGATGTTGTCCTTGTGTTTCTTGTCTTCTGTGCTCCTGCTGCGACGCAAATTTCCCCTTGTGGGACAATAAAGAATCTGAATCTGAATCTGCAAGATGGAGCAGTAGAGACCAGCTGGTGGTACAGAGGTCCTGCTCACCAAAAGACTAACCAACCAATTAAAAGGCTCACTTACTGAGAAATCTGCAAAGAGCCTTCAGGTCCGGAGCAGAACAGACTCTTGTGTGGGTGAGAAGCAGACTCTCACAGCCATGGAACGTTAAACGACTCGTGTTAGTGTTCATTATTTCGCCTCTCATCGTTCCTACTCTTCTGATACTGTGCACACAGCACTGTAGAGCAGCATTTATCATCAAAGCTGTCAATCATGAGGTTACACACCTCTTTTGATTGCATTGAATAATGAATTAAATCTAAACTTCTCAGAAAAATGATCCCCATCAATCAGCATCATAAGTAGAATGAAGGAGGGCCCCTAAATACTGTATGGCCATTATTAATGCACTATAATAACATAAAGTTAGCATGACATCTGTCACGTTCAATCCGATAAAACTCATGTGTGAGTATCCCTCTCCATCTCAATACTCAGATCAATGCAGCTAAGTACTTGCACGTGCGCATTAGTCGGACACATTGGATATAGAACTGGCTTGTGTTCATTTCTCTGATGCTGGAGGTTACATCGAGGCTTCCCTTCCACTGACACCCAGGTCAACTTAATCAACGGGCCTTCCATTTGCACAGCATGATCCTGCTGAGACGAGAAAGAAGGTTATGAAGCATTTACACGCTGAGGCTTTTCTTCCTTCGGAAGACACCCCGGGAAAATCTGTGGTATCTTTGAAATCCTAGGCAGAAACAGAGGAAGACCGGACTTTAAATCTTAACATCACCTGAGTCCCTCCTGAACTGTACAAACAACAATTACAGCCATGACAAGGTAATCTGTTGACTTGCATGGTTGAGAATCTTGGTAAATACTCTTCTTTGAGTATTACTAACTAGTTGGGTGTTCCCTCTTTTAGCTAATTTGTTAAAAACATTTAAAATATTTGAGGATGTGTTTGGAGTCTGTTACCCACAGACGGTTGATGGAAGAGTTTTTGGTCGACAAAGTTTCAGTGAACTGCTCGGCTGCTTCTTTATGAGACCTGAAAACAGCTGAAAACCACTTCTGGCTTCCCCATGCTAAATATTTAAACGTCAGAACAACGACAGGACCTGTGCACACGTTTAAACCACACACAACCACAGCGACACTGTCAAGAACACACTCAAACACACACACCCATCCCCTCCATCCTGTTTGCCACTGGGCTCCTCCTCAAAGTTCAATTATTTATCGACCTCCATATACAGGCCTTTTCATTATAAATTTATTTTGCTTTGCTGTCTGAGGGCTGCAGGCAGCCAGCACACTGGATGTGCCTTTTTTCACAAGAGTCTTATTGTTAAGCAGCCATTCATCACATGGGTGCAGTTCTCTCCTTTTTACTTTGAATGCCATAGAAGAATAGATCAGTATGACTTAGTGACTGCATTTTGACACAAACATTGCTCTGTAATACTACTTAAGAGTGTGAAATGATATGTTTTGGTCTTACATTTAGGAACTCAGAAGACTAAATATAAAACGTATAATCGCTGTTTTTGCTGGGGAAAGAGCAGCGTTGTTCCTTGTGTGTGTTAATTACAGAAGGGTGATTCTCATTTTTCAGATTTGTTTTTGGGACACCAGTGGTAGATTTTTACAAATTGACCGTCAGAACAATGTGAAAACTTCAGCGAGTCTCAAAAAGGAGGAAAGAAAATACACAGTTCAGTTCAGTTCATGTATGATGCTGCTTAGAAAATTGTCCACTTGCAAATCTCATCCTCTAGCAAACTAATTTAAAGTGTAAGGTTGAAAAATGAGTGAACCATTCCTGTGTTTGGCAGGAAATGTTCCATATTACATACATTTTCCAACTGGAACATTACAAATGTTAATGGGAGGTCTGCTCCCCTTTACTCCTTTCTCTAACTACACTGCTCAAAATATTCAAAGAAAAGATACAAGTCAAATCTTTGTTTTTTAATGACCAAAATGGTCAAAGAAAAAATAAAATAGTGCATGTCATGTTAGATACAAGACATGCAATCCATTTAGAAAACATCATGTGACTTCACAAAAACACATTTTTTTAAGTTGGACCAGGTGTGTCATCGTAAAGTACGGTGTTATGGTTGTATGTAGGCTTCACCTCTTCTGACCCACTGTTTGTTTTTTCTGTACTGAGCTCCATCTCTTCATATCACCATAGTAACCAGCTAACATGTGGTAAACTTCAGAGGGACATTCTGGGAAAGATTATAACTTCTATGTAACTTCTAGCAACTTCAAAAAAACCAAGATGGATGATCACTTATTAGCTGACTGCCTTCAAACACACATTATAAATTCAAACATACTTTTTGAAGAACCAGCTGACCGACTCGAGTACATCAAAGAGTTGAGTGCAGATGAAAAAAAAACATTGGATTATTTTCAGTCTCACTTTATTTAACGATGATGTGAAAATTAAAGGCTGTCCATAACATTCAGACAATAAAAGAAGAATGTTATCCAACCCCCCTCCCGCCCCCCTTGTAACAACTAATGGCTTCAAAAATGTTCATGTGTTCAAAGTGTGATACTTATTTTATACAACTTTTTCATATCTATACCTCATCTGTACATAACATAGTTACAGATACTGTAAATTAAAGAAATGACTTCCAAGTATCCTTGTGGCGCATTTGTGAAATATTTCCTATGTAAAAATGAATGTACGTAAAGATCTTTTACATATACATATATATATAGTTCTCTATTCTTTCTTTTATAAGAAAACAAGTTATTGCCCCTCTCGAACATGTTGCATTTAACATAGGTTTTGTTTACCATTGAAACTCGTAATTGAACTGAACTCCGTGTGATACCACATGACAAACCGACAAAACAGTAACAGTATGGACCTGTGTGTGTTCTTCCACTTAATATAAACGTCATATTGTTATATTTTGGACATGTATGTCTTGCAGTCTCCAGAAACCCTGATGATGACACATACAAAGATATAATTATATACGTATATGTCATTCTTTTGATCTTCAAACGAAAAAGGTAAAAAAAAGAAAGAAAAAAGAAATGTGGCATATACAAACCATAAGAGTGATGTTAATTATTACAGTAACGAATGAGCCCTTGACCCATCACAATTGCATTTGAACAATTTTTCATCCATGTTGAAAAGAAAGATGAAAAAGAATCATTGTAAAGGAAAATAAATCAGGGCATAACAATTTAACAACAGAACCATACCTGATGATCTGCATTTGGCATTTTAGATGGACTAAAAAAAGTCATTTTGTAATTTGGTAAATGCCAGGAGTGGGTTATTAGGATTGATCGTTTGCTACTACTTTCACTTTATTGCCCTCAGTGAATAACTGCTAAAACCAGTAGCATAGTTGATATGATGATGTTTGTCCACTGAGAATCTTGGCATTGACATGTGTGAGCTGATCAACAGGTTAAAAGAACTTCAATCCGTGTTGTGTAACGAAACAGAAAACCAAATTGTGGGTATGAATGACACAACAGAGTGGATTTGTCACGACAGTTGCAAAAACAGAGGTTACTCTGTGAATTATACATTTCATATCATGCCGTCTTGAGAAAGCCAAATACCAAATATCCATACATGGACACCATCATCAGGGTATCAGCAAATTGTACACAATCACATATAATGTAATATATAAAATGTGCAGTTGGTTTTTTTGTTCTCCTGAAGGAAGAACAAACCCTCTGACAATGTCCCTCACTCGCTTGTCGAGTGGCCGTGATTCTCTGGTTGGCAAAAGGTGCGGGAGACGCCGTGACTCCATAGAGGTCTGTGCTCGGGGTTTCCCTGCTCCTGTGCTCAGCAGGGGCTGGAAGGGGAGGAGCTCTCGCAGGAAGTCACCCTGATATGTCCGATAGCAGGTGGATTTCTGCTAGCTTGTCTTCCACTCCAACTCTGTATCCTTTGATTGGCCTTTAAACCGAAGACTGACAGTATTTATGACCTAGCTCAAAGTAGTCCACTCCATGTTCTCCCACACTGTCCCATGCATTGAGGCGTTGAATTTAAATAAATCTATGACACGTTGTACAATATACAGATGTGTGGCCAATGTAGTTGTTGTAGTTTCAGTGCCATTTTCACCCTATTTATGTACCGTGGGTCCTGCAGGCTACAATATAAGACAACAGGCACAGCGCTCAACAAACGCCTTAAAAACTAAAAACCAAGACACCAATGGTGAAAACATATGCTGAGAACAAACTTTCTCACACTCCATTTGAAGTCCTTTTTCTTTAAAGAGTCCCTGTTTGCTTCTCTCCAACATGAGGACTGTTTTACAAACAAAACATGACGACACTGTGCTGATGACAGTTTAGCCCAGTGCAGTCTTCTTGGGCTCAGGTTACAGCCCGTTTTCCATAGCAAGTGAGGTACGTTCACTGTTGCTAAGTGTGAAGTGATTTTTCATGATAGTCAATATGAAAGAAAGCCCTGTGTCTGTGCTTTATCTATCACTGTGTATAGGAACCGAAAGCTACGGCCGGTTGGGGCTCATGTGTGCATCGGCTTGATTACCTCTCGTGGAAATTCAGGTCAACCGTTTGGTCCAATTGTTGTGGCACTGGTAGACCTACATCCTTTCCAGCATCACCTCTTGAGTTTAATTTCTGAAGAAGTCTTTATAAGTGTGAGTCTCGTGCCCCTTTGCCGCTGACATGAACCCGGGGCCCCTTTTCTTATGTGCTGGTTAGCTGTGAGGGCTAGAATATACAGACATCTTAACAGTCTATGAAGACCACTCAGTGAAAAGCACCTGACTCCATAAGGTGCTCTCTTGCGTTTTAAGTGTACATCTGAATGTGTGCATTTCTTGGCATTTAACACACAATTAACCGTGGAACACTCTCCTTGTGTTTTTTTTATTTTTTTTATCTCAATTTTCTAAACTATGCAGCCTTGAAAACCTGTTAAAAGGCATAGCATCAATAATCTGTATATCATGCTTTCTGATCACATACTAAGCAAGTTGTAAAGCATGAAAGGCCTATGCAAAGTCTGATGTGAAATCTCTAAAGAAATCAGTGCTGCAAAATTTAGCAAAGTGGTAAAAAGAGCCATGTGCGTCGTACTCCTAGATTGAGGAACGGGCCTTTTCATGTTTAGTGACTCACAAGCTTTCATGTACCTTACTCTGCTGCGCTTGTTATCAAAAGTAACACAAAGCACTTTCCATCTCTGTCATACATATGTCTAATTCTTCCAGGGGTTGCCATGTTTTATGAGCTTCCATTGGAAATGTTCCTGATAACTTCTTCTGTCATAAGCTTGACACTTCCAACCCCTTTAATTGTCCGTTCACAGCATATACAAAGCTTACAGAACATCAAAGTCAGAAATGAAGATATTTACATGTCTCCATAAGGATGGGAAGGGGACGGGAGTTAATTCCATGATTTCCTTTGTTGGGTTTTGTAAATAATATGTCTCCACACTGGTATCCAGTCACCAAAGCTGTAAAATACTCAAGTTTGATGACAAGCTCACATGTAGCAGAAAGCTGAACATACAACAGATAAAGAACAGTAAAAGACAACCCCCCCTTTGAAGCAGATAAGGCTACACGTCAGGCAGGGCTGCTCCACCACTGTTCTGCTATGGGGGCGGGACTGTAGTTGTACATGTGTGTGTTTGTGTGTGTGTGTGTGAGTGTGTGTGTATTGGGGTATGTTTGTTTGACTGTTCATTTGCAAGGGGAGCAGCTCAACAAGGGGACATTGCTGTGAATCATGGGAGTTTCTATGGGTCATCCAGTGCCCACTCCGTCTCCTCCCACCCCTTCCCGACTGAGGGTTTCAGTTCTCAAGAGAGGCTTGGGTGAAGAGGTGTGAAGAGTGAAACTTTGCCCCTCCCCCCCTCCCTCTCTTCTCCCCCTGTCCTCCTTGTTCTGAGACAAAATACGCACATACGCTGACGATATCAGTCTATTTGTTGTAGAAAAAAGGACCATATATGTCTCCTCTGCAAGGAGCCAGGTGGGGGAGGGAATGAAGCTCACAGGCCAGAGACCATGACCCGGTAGGAGGGGGGCATGTGTCTGTGCCGGGGGCTGGAACCAGGGCTGCCGTTGGGGCTGGTACAGCTGGCATCGACCCCTCCTATGGAAGGTAAGTAGGCGTGGTGCAAGATGGGCAGCTGCAAGGAGAGTCGACGCTGTATGCTGTGAAAAGTGAAAAAAAGAAATAATGTAAAACTCACAAGTAGAGACTAAATATGAACATTATATACTTATGACAGTTTTTGGGATTGTTTTTTTTTTTTTTACTGAAGTCACTATTTTATCCAAATGCTCATATTAATCACCTTACAGCTAAATATTTAAAAACCTGTAAGCCCAACAGGCTGGATGTATTGTTACGGCTGTATGTGTCCCTGTGCTGTTTGTCCCTTCTCCCTTTCTGTTGTGTCACAACGAGGTGCACCGGGCCTCAGAGCTTAAAAACTTGTGTTTTTTTGTGTTTTGTCTTTTGTGATATTAGTTTCTCAGTTGTTCTTTGTTATCATTTAGTCTATCCATTGATAAGAAATCCCTTCGTTTTGACTTTGTTAAGGTGTTATATTGTAAGTGTTTTATTGGGTCAATTTGTGGATTGTTGTTAGCCCCACTAGGGCCGCCTTATGGTGAGGCGTAACAAATGGGGGCTCGTCCGGGCTCGAACGTCCATGAGGTGAAGTTATTGTGTGTTGTTGTGTAACTTGTGGCCTTAGTTGAGTTTTCTTCCTTTGTCACTATATTTCTTTCACGGTGAGTATCAGTTAAGTGTAGTGCTGAGAGCAGCAAGCGATCTCCTTCCAATGATCCACTATTTGTTGTTTTGCCTTTTTTATTTTTGGATGAAATCCTGGGGTGAGACACTTTCAAATATTGAAATCTCACTTTCCTCCTCATCCTTACTTTCTTATGAAAGAAGGCAGATTATATTCTGGCCTGTCACATTTAATGTGAAATTACAGAAAAATGGTTCAATATAAATATAATTATTTGTAACAAAGGGTTACAGTTTTTTTGATATTTTACATCACAAGATAAAGTCCTCAACAATAATGTGATGCTATAAATTACAACACCCTGTAGTAGTCAATCTCTGCATTAATACTGCCTCTGCTTATTATCACTAAACATCAACCTTCAGTGTATTTAATTCATGAACAAAAATCGGAAGGACACAAGGGAGAGTGAATGATTAAAATGAACTGTTCCACTGTAAAGGAGCTGGCACATGTAGTGGACACACTCAGTGAACTTTAAAGATTCAAAGGACTGTCTATGTAACCAGAATCCCAACTAGGCTGATAAAACAGAAAAAGAAAATTATAATCCCAACAAAGATCACTCAAGCCCTCAGCAATTCTTCTTATTGTTTTCCTGTTGTCTTGAGCCACCTCTTTGTTTTCTTTCCTTCTCCTTCCTAAACCCTGATCCAGTGAGCCTCCTTTATTCTGGGATCATCTGACGAAAAGAACATTTCATGCTTCTGCCTGCTGTGACAGTTTTCACACCACCTTGCCAGTGCTAGTGCCACTTCCAGACGTTTGCAAGCACATTACATAACCAAGTGCTAGTTATGTAAAAGAAAAGGGGGAACAAAACGTAACCTCATTCAGTGATAGACCCAGAAAACGTCTTAATTAGGTGAACTCTGAAATATTTATGGTACTCAGACCTAGCAAGTTAGTCTGATCTGCTCTATTTGTGATGGAACACACTCTTCCTTGGCCATGAAGGAAATCGTTTTTGTATTTTTATGCATTTAGATAGAAAACTTTTAATTATATGCACCTATAGAGTGTGACAGCCTTCATCATGTCACAAACCATATGCTATTTGCTCTTCTCTCTCTCTTCATTTGATTTGTCTCTTCTTCTGTCTCTTTCACTGCCTCTTCATCTCTCTTCCCTCAATGTGATCAAACATTCATGCAGCATGGGAATAGCTCCGAGTGTTCCTTTACTTCTGTTCTCCTCCCTGTCTATTTTCAGAGCTGCTTCCCAATGTGAGCTGTAAATCACCGGTTACATAAGCCTCTGTGATTCTCTACCTCTTAATTTCTCTCCTGCCTCTCTCTCTCTCTCTAAACATGCCTCTCTCTTAATCTATATTCTCTCTGTAACTGCCCCCTTTTTAATATTTCACCCCCCTTGTCTGCTGTCCCTTCCTTCTCCATCCCTCTGCGCTGTGCATTCCTCTCCTTGGATCTAGTTAAACGAGTTTGAGAGAGAGATCTCTCACTGATGCATGAGGTGTCCCCCCCCCCCACTGATGAAGTCCCTCAGCTTTGCCCCCTTATGCATAGTGAATGAAGATCTGCATGAGTGTTTTGATGGAGTGAGGGACAACAAATCAATCTGCTGCATGACTACATTTGTACCCTGTACCTGCATGTGTTTGTGTTTATATGTGAGTGTATATGGTGAGAGAATACACACACACTCTACGCGGTTTAAATATTGTGGGTGTGCGTGGGAGAGAAAAGTACAGGGCTGGTCCATTCTTTCACAGAGCTCTGTTGCCAGAGCAACCGCCTGAGAGCTATACGGCTGGTTGCGATACATGTGACGTGTAGTCTGATGAGGAAACTGACAAGATAGAGAGGGAGGGAGGGTAGAGGGAAAGGAGTCTGAGGTAGAGGAGCTGAAGAAATGGGAGTTCTCACTGTTCGGGCGAGTTGATATCTTCGAGGGGACCTCTGTTTATTCTGGAAGGATCCATGGAGCCCCACTGAGCCTGAGGCTTCTGCTCCAGATGGTTCTTTAGTATCGACTTCTCTCCGTCTGTATTGGAAACACACAAAAGCATCATGAAAAAGATGATATGCTCTACAGATTCACTTCACTTCCCCTGTCTGTCACCTGAGACATGAAACAAAGAGAGTTCTCAGACTGGCTTTAGGACTCAACCTGAGTCTGGATCCACATCTTTTTCTTCAGCTGCTGTTATGAGCATGAAAAAATCTTTGTCATTTTTACACTCTTAATCTAATTCAATGCCGCTTTAAAAGGAATAAAAACATAGAATAGATGATTCTGAATGAGTCACAATACAGTATTTTTACATTGACACATATTAGGTTTAAATGTTGACCTAATGAGTGATGTTGAATTAGAAATAAGAATCTACCTCCCGGCCGCGGAGAGGTTGGAGTTTACATTAAGGTTTAAAGTTAGGGAAACTGCATCAAAGTTTGCTAGAGGTGAACCCCAAAACCACAAACAAACACTCCGAGTTTAACTCAAGACCACTTCTTCTTGTTTCTCTTTTTTAGAAGGAAACAGAGTTCGGCGGATAGGCTGTTTAAAAGAGGTGGACATAACCACCATGACTCACCCCACTGGTCTATGAACCCCCCTCCTGAAGCCTCAAGTTCAGCATTGGTACAATCTCCATCTTGGTTTTTTGGCAGTAAAGTGACCATACTCGATACATACCCTTCCTTGTCATTGATTTTACTCTTAATGGGACCATTAATGACCTGAACTGAGCAACAAACTATGTTAAGTGAGGCCATTAATCAACCAAGAAGTACTTTGGTTAATATACTGTAATACTATATTAGCCATTAGAAAGAATGCTTTTTCAAGCACTTCTGCATTGGCTTTACTTTTGAACTCAAGATGCTAGAGCCACTTCTTTTATACAGCCTCTGATTCAAGGAGAAAATGGTCACCTTTGAAGCCTTTGAATGATCCTAATTGTAGAAACCCATAAGGGCCAATATTAGTCATAATTAGATACTGACAATTTGTCGGTTATGTCTGTCAACTGACTGTTAAATAAGCCCATTTTCTTTTTTCCAAAACAGAGACAGACTGCATAATTTTCATCACATCTCATACTCAGGGTGACATTTAAAGCACCTGAGTGGGAAGAATTCACAAAGTGCAGACAGAAGCAAAGAGGAAACGAGTCTGGATGTTATCGAGAAAATATCGAAGAATTCTCATTTAGACAATCTCAAGATGTGCTCAGCACTCTGTGCAGGAGCAGGCAAACGCTGATGCAGAAGAAGAATGCAGTAAAACATAAAAACAGATCTGTTGAGCAGTTCACAGGTTTCCCTCATTTGTCCCAGATTCCCCAGAACTCTGTGACCTGATCCCGTGATCACAGCATGCACTGATCTGATTGGACACCTGAGCTCACTGAATTATTCTGGAGCAGAGAAGTTGTCTTTTCAATTTGAAAAACTCTACCCTGTAGCTCTCAGAGCAGACACATAAGTGCAATTATTTATGCACTCCATTATGGACACAGAGCATGTGTGCGAGCCAAAATGGGGGGTAATGAATGGGTGTGTATGTGACTGCCAGTGCTTCTGCAGCCAGCCTCAAGCACATCCGCAATGGCTTCATTTTTCAACATGGGAGGTTGCTGCTTGTGTACATCTCATTATTTCAGTTGACTGAGGTTTCACTTTTATTGAAAGTGCAGACAGAAAAATAGTAAATTGAATCTTCCTTAAAAATGTTACATGTTCACCTTTGTATTGGGGGGATTTGAGTGTTGGTGGTCCCTCTCTCCATATGATCAATATCAAAGTCTACTAAAGCTGAACCCTTCATTTTGATGCATGCGCCTTGAGCAGCAGGACGGCTGTGATCAGGTTGTGACAATTCAGTGTTTATTAATGCTCAACATAATCTTTTTTCTTTTTTTAATCTAAAAAAAAAGAGCCAGAGCAAAATGACAATATCTATCCAAGTTATTTTTTGGGGCTATTTTTGCCGTTATTAGAGAGGACAGCTGAAAAGAGAGAGGAACTGTTGGGAAGAGAGAGTGAGGGATGACATGCAGCAAAGGGCCAAGGTCGAATCCTAAACCAGGGCCACTGCATCAAGGACTACAGCCTCTGTATATGGGGCATGCGACATAACCACTAGGATATCCAGCGCATAATAATACGTTTTTTATTCACAGCTTAAATTGATCTTATTATTACAATGTTTAATTTTTAGCTCATTTAGCATGGCTTACATCAACTTTTAGTTAAGGATCGACAGATTCTTAGAATATGCTTCAATCAATCAATCATTATTTGTATAGCTCCAATTCATAACAAGAGTTTTCTTGAGACACTTTACAAAGAGCAGATCAAAGATGTTACTATTTGTTATATAACAAAGGGTCACTTAAGAACAGATTTCACTTAAAATAAAATAAAAACCCTACCAATGTAAGCACTAGAATACTCATTACTTTAAAGAGGTCAAAGGTCTAGTGCATTCATCTGCACAAACTGTCTCGAATATGTAAGAATTATTTCTGGTATCGTGGTACAGCAGAGCTCAAACAGACCTGAGCGTGCACTTGAACATAATATGAAATTGCTCTCCGTACTGTTAATTAACAACCTCTGACTGTTCAGCCTAAAGTCAGGTCTCAGCAGCCGCTGTGTCAGAGAACCACACCTCATCTGTCATCCTCCAGTTGTTCTCCATGTGCTGGTGCATATTCATGAAGACAGCCAGGGAGAGATCAACACTCACCCTCTGTGAGTGAACGTAATCGCTGTTGACACGGCGTTCTACTCTTATAACAGCCTCTTATTCACAGCCCCCCCAACACATTTAGACCAGCTCTTCTCTGAATACTGATGACTGCGATGTGGAGCAGGCGATGATGATGAAGATGATGATGACTGTCAAGCAGAAGCAGATTGAGGCCTGGAAGAGTTTATATGCTGGCGATCTTTAAAGGAGGTTTAATGACCTGTGATTTTATTTCCATAATGTGTGTCAGATTGACGTTTGTCAGCAGCATCTAATGATCTGTCTGAACTCTTTTTCTCCCTCCCTCCTCACAAGATCATTATCATGAACACTTCAACTATCCAGAGACTCATGCACTTCTCTCTGCATTAAAAAAGTATTAGCCAGGTCAGACTTTTGTGATACAAGCCTCAGATGATTACCACATGCAGACTAAGCTTAATGCATATCAGGCGAATTCAAGAGGGTTCACTTTTTACCTCATTCTCTTTCAAACATTTTCTTAATGTTAGGAGATATAAAAAGCTTCTGCACTGAAACCGACAGCCCATTTATGGTGCCTACGATACTGAACTATTTTACAGTTTTACTCATAAAAAAAATCATTTCTGTAACTGAAATGTTTTGTCTCTGTTCGGGGAAATGCTATGATTTAAAGAAAGTGAAAACATATTGTGGAAAACTTCCATATTTTTCTAATTTTTGGACTTTTTCTTTCAGAAAAATCTTAATTTAAGAGCCACAGTCCTTACTTTTATTCCAGATAATGGCCAAAGAAAGGTTCAGCTATTTGTTCATGTTTCAAACGCAGGTTTTACAATATTACTACATTTTGTTATCACATTTATTTAGAGAAGAGACATATAAACTGTTGATCACAGTTGATATTTTCTCTATAAAATGCCTCTCAAATGTATATGTATGTTCTCTTTGTAGTCTCCTGACTACTTCCAGACACTCGTGTTAATATTGAGTCTGAAATAGATTCATTTTTGAGCCCATACCTTTTTAATTTTATTCCCCAAACATAGCCTGATATCAGCTGCCAGCTTCTGCCTGGATTTACACAGATTATCCTCAACAAAATGAAAACATATGAGATTGTGTCAATCATTTTTAGGTTGTATGAAAGAACATTGTTTCATGGATACGTATAGTCTCAGATGTATAAAGGGCTTATCTGAAGCATTAAACATGGTAAGTAAAAATTCAACATTGTACAGAGACATACGGTAAAATTCAGCAGGAAAAAGCAGAAGGAGAAATAAGTAAGATGTAGATTTCTAGCCGGGCTTCATAAAGGAATGACATTTTTTTTATAGAGATTGTTTTCTATAGAGTCGCCTTCTTTTCTATATTGAGTCATATATATAACATGTTCATGTCAGATTGGAAAAATTCTTTATAGATGGCAGCTTTTGCTCTAAATGCTCTCTGTGTTCTATAAAAAATATATCAATAAGCATCTCAATCAACTGAACACTGAACACTACAGGCAAGTTTTTATATGTAAGCTAGCCCTGCCTGTTTGCTGTAACATGATATCAACCTTCACTTGAAATCATTTCAAAGACATTTTATGTTTGTGCTAAAGCAGGGTGTGTGTTATTCGTGCAAAGGCGAAAGCTGAGGAGGGGAGACGGAAGGAGTAACAGAAGGAAGCAGAGAAAAAGTCAAACAAAGAAAAAGCATTAGACATGTTGCTTTGTGAATGTTCCCACTAACTACCTACTGTTTGTTGCATAACTGTGAACCTTCACACATGAAGAACTTCTCAAACATTCCCAGCAAGCTCTGCTCTCAATCTGCAGAACGAGTGCAGCTGTTTTACTTTTTTTTTTTTTTTACCTTCCCCAAATCAGACAGATCCATTAAACACCCCGGAGAGCGGCTTTGTGTTGGTGTGTGGATCAACTCAAACACATGAATCTGGCTGCTGTACATCGCCAACACCCTGGGTCTGTTAAGAAGGTGCCTAAAGTAAAGTGACGCTGCTGGAGTGGAACCATTCACTGATTCAGTTTTGAGGAACTCAGCTTTTTAATGTTTAAGGAGCAGCTGTATCAATTTGAATAGTCACACTGAGCAGAAGTTGGGAGGGTAAACCGAAAGAGATGGATAAGAAATCTATCTTTATGTTCCACATTTTGTCATTCTAAGTAGTCTTTCCCAGCCGTATTTTTTTGAAAGACGATTGTCCAACAAACACAAAAAACACAACAAAACTAGGTACAAAATCAAGTCTTGACCCACTTGGGTTGAACAATAAAGGTGCAAGAGTTATTAGAAGTGACTACGATATGAGCAAAACCTGCTAAGAAGCAGTGAAAGTATGCAGGTACTGCAGCTTATCCTATGACTCATTCTCAGAGACGTCACAGACTGGCTGTCAGACAGATTGCTCTTGATTCCCTTCTTCACCTACAGCTGACAGGAGCTCCAGCAGTGGAAAAAAAAGGCGTCAAGATATTCCAGCAAGCTGCTGCTCTGAATGCAGCTTTAAAACCCTTCACTAAAAGCAAAGGTAACACATGCATAGCAGAGAGCTATCATGAGATAATGCATGAGGATTAGTTCCCAAATTTTTTTTTTTGCTTAACTAATTCTGAGTGTCATGACGGTCATATACTGAATTGTTACTGAATTAGAGGGAGAAGTGACTGGATGGTGTTATACTGAGCTGGTTGTTCTTGGTTACATGTCACAATCAGTGAAGAAGAAATGAGGCACCATGTTGGATTTTACATGAGCTTGTATTGACTTTACTGAAGAGAGCACTGACAGAAGGCCACATGGAGAAAAATATTGCAAATGTCTCACCTTTGCTGTCGGTGAAGTTGCGTATGCTGAGGATGTTGTTGGCGTCTGGGTAATGGTTCTGTTTGATGTAGGTGTTTTCTCTGGAGTGTCCTGCAGCTGCATGGTCACCTCCTCCAGCTCCTTGTCCAACTTTAACAAGAGGAAATAAACACATTAGTTCATGCTATTGTTTTGTTTTTAAACTGAACAACATAGATGAACAACGTGTACTACATTTTAAATCCTGTCTTTTAATAAATTACATTTGCATAGGTTGTTATTAGACAAGCTTGTAGTCGGCTTCATGTTTATCAGACATATGCTATCCAGTGTGGAGGCTGTTTCTATGGACCACAAGCTGCTAAAATACTGTCTGCCAAAGACATAATAACTTTACTTGTCTTCCATGTACTGGGTGTCTGAGTCACTCCTCATTTTTTTCTAAAGCCGTGGACAGCACATCTAACTCTTACCAGACAGAGCTGGTAGAGGCCAATGTAATTGCAGAATGATTTTTGAAATATACTCAATGTCAGTGTGACATGTTTAAGAAATAAATCACAGAGCTTGTGCAGGGTAACAAGGGGGGAGAACAGCTGCTGCTTCATAGTCCAGCCAGTACCTCTGGTAATACTGTGTAATTACTGGGTTTGACCAGATCCTGTCAAAAATGTAACAACTACTCCCTCGGCCTATGCTACAACCTTCCCCCAAGCTCCGTGGTGATCAGGCATGGAGTTTCCCTCATCCTGCTGACAAATATACAAATGGGCGGACAAACAGCATAGAAAATATAAGTGGAAAGTTTTTAATTCACTCCATCCGTTCTCGATTAAACTTGAGCTCAATTTCTGTACCTTTAATTAGATATTAAAGCCTCTCCATTCTTTATTGCACTGAAAACCCTTTCACCCACTGCACTGTTGTCTTTTCACATAGAATACTTCAATCAAAATCAGAGAAATAATGTCTGTGTATCCATCAACTCAGACCTCTGTTATCCTCATGCGGAGGCGGTGGTTATCAGTTTGGAGGCCGTCCAGTCGGGATGTGTTCGCCTGGTTGACGCTGGTGACCGAGGTGGACGTCTTGGAGTCCTCCTTCTTCTGGTTCTGGGTAAACTTTAGCCTTCGGTTCTGTGTGGCTGCGTCTGGGTTGGTTCTCATAGTGATAAACTGGAAGAGAGGTTATGTGAGAATTAGTCACGGCAACACATTGCATTGGCTGGATGGGCTACAGTAACTGTTTATACTGCACTTTTAAGTATCAGGACTTAGTGTGAATGTAGAGATAATTTAGCGCTCTTGTTCTTGGCAATAAACACGTTTTACTCAATCACAACTGACCTTAGGAACGAAGACCAGACACAGGGTGATGGTGCTGCAAAAGATGATCACCAGTGCCACAATGCAGAACTGGACATTGGGCTGGTCCCTCGTCAGAAAAGAGACCGCAGCGCCGATGATGCACATGATGCCCACATTGTAGACACTCATCCCGATGTATTTGCTATCATTGAGCGCAGGGATGCTCACGTTCCTCGTCTCCCATGCCAGGAAACAACCAAATAACTGTGAGAGAAAAAGAGAAGAGGAGAAACATGTCTCATGAAACGTTGGAGAGGAGTTTATGTTTAATCTCAGGAACACTCATGGCAAAATTGAATTTGGGTTATAAATAGTCTGGATGGGTTTGTCAACAGTAAAGTCCATCTGTTTATCAGAAATGATCGTCTTTCTTTCTTCTTTCCTGCTGGTGAAAACTCCAACTGTTTTTCAAATTAAGCAGGGCTGATTCAATCTTAATGTTTGTTTGTCAGTGCTTTTCATAGATCTTCATAAATACAATCAAAGTTCAGGTTGTGATGAAACATTTAATTACACTAAGCTTTAGGAGCGATAAAAGAAAATCAAACAAAGATTTACTTCATTACTTGAAAGAGCCTTAAAGGGGGGGACATCCCTCTAAAGCAGCCGAAGGTTTCAATCTTGTAAACTGTTTATTTAGAGGGACTTGTTTGTTTGGAGGAGCATTAAAGTTGCAGCAGCAGCCTGCTGAATAATTCACTGTGTGCTGTGTAAAGAGGTCTATCTGCTTATTGTAAAGTCTACATCAGAGTCCGTGGAATGACAAGCCACAGAATCATGAGAGTATTCACCAGGGATTAGTGTACCTCATAAATCTCAGGTTTGTGTTAGCAAGAGTGAGTTGACTGTAATGTATGGACGTGTGAATTCATATATAAGTCTATCTGTTCTTATCTCTTTGTTTTACATCAAAACTCATATATTACAGTAACTCCTGCTTCATGAAGGTTTTCAAAAACACTGTGTGGTGGAAAAGTTGACAATATATCACAATCTAACAGTAACAGCTAGAACCCTGTATCTCCTAGTGAGAGCTCATAGGCGTTAGTCCTGAAGTCCTCTGTGAACAAAGTGGTAGGTCTTATCCAAACAGACTGTAGAAGTCATGCACCCCATCTCAGAAGCGTTTTTGTAGACGAATGATGGTGGTCGCCATATTGGAAATGCTGACTCAAACTAACTTTCTGACAACCTAGCAACAGGCAAAGAGGTGGAACTGGGGCCTTTAGCCACCTAGCAGCTACAACACATCCACCTGTCAGTCAAATCAGTCATATCTATAATTATGCAAATGTGTGCATAACTGCTAGCATATAATCAAAATAGATGAGTTATGAAAGAATTTAACCTTGTAAACATGTTTCTTTCTGCTGTAAAAATAGGCATTTTATCACGGGACCTCATGAGAGTTCCCTTGTTTTAGGTGCCAGCCTGAAGTGCACACTTGATGCTGCAGCTTGGTCTTATTTCTTTCCTCAAGTTGTCCAGTACATGCATCTATCTCACCACCATGTACAGCATCAGAGAGATATACAGCTCTGGAGCTGCAGGACTGTTGGCCTCCACACTTCAAGCTAGTCTGTGATACACACACACAAACACACACCCACACACACACACACACCAGCAAACGGTCAAGTGGGCAGTGTTAGCTCACACCCCAAATCACATTTTATGGGATGAATTTATGGAAGCATACCTGAATTCAAGGTAAGTCATCAAAAATGTTTGTGTGTGTGGTATCTTGGGTTTTACAAGGAGAAAGATGGAGAGTCAATGTAGGGATGATTATTTAACACTGGGCCACAGATTACAAATTGTTTTATTTTTCTGTCTTTAAAGTAGTAACTTGAGGTTTGATATTAACACATAATTCAGACATAGCAATATTGAGAAACAACTATCTGTATGGAGATTTAACTAAGCTTATTTATGCACATAAAGAGCCTATCAAAAGTGGTTTAAATTAAAATAGTTAGTGTTTATGTATTCGCTTCTATCCCGATTATGTAATGAAAGTTTGGTTCTCTCTCCTCACCATCAGCAGTCCCTTGTAGGCATAGACGATGCCCAGCCAAATGGTCATGTGGGTATTCTCACAGTGCTCCAGGAAGGGGCGGATGGCGATGTCTCGGCCTTGGGGGTCCGCCTGTTTACAACAAAAACACACGAAAAGAAGAGAATTGAGTATTTTACCCCCCGATGTCCTTTTATTGTCTTTGGAAAAAAAAAAGATGGATGAACAAATCATCCAAATGTAGAATAACATTAAAGCAGGTTTAATTTCCTTGTGGAGCAATAACAGCAATAGAGGAAACCAGAAAGCAGGCAGAAAAAGGAAGAAATGATAATAAGTTTCTCTTTGCAGGTGTTCTAATTTCACATTCAGGGACAAGAAGGACGCAGACTTTCCACTGCTAATCAGAGTAAAGGGTGTCAGCGATCAAACATCCAGGTGTGTAATCAAACTGTGTCCCATCATGGCTGCCGGGCTTCTCCAAAGTCGGCTGAAGTTAAATTAATCTGTGCTTAGGACGCTAATGGGCACGACTAATGAAGCTTATTCATTAACGTGATTTACACCTCCTCCTTTCTTTCCTTCGTTCTCTCCCACCCTTCCTTTTTCACACCATCTCTCCATCATTTCTGCCTCTCTGTGTCTTCAGCTCTTTTCTCATTTCCACTTGTCTTTTGCTGCAGCTGGTGGCACAGGTGACTTACCGGGCAAATTAGCACCTGAGGTGGATATTTATACGCTAAAATACGTCACGTCTCCTCTCTCTCTGGCTCGCTCTCTCCGTTAGCAGCGCTTTAAAAAAAAAGGCCGTTAATAAGAGCATTAGCTTGGCCTGCCTGAATTCATCTGAGGCCACAGCGATATATCAACTCTGAGACACCTGGGGGAAGGCTGGGCCTAATGCCACGCTGCTCGCTTGGTGTGTGTGTGTGTCTTTAGGGTTATTTACAGTGAGACATGTTTAATGGCTCAGTAGAAGGTGTGTGTGTGTGTGTGTGTGTGTGTGTGTGTGTGTGTGTGTGTGTATGTGTGTGTGTGTGTATGTGTGTATGTGTGTGTAGGTGTCTTAAATATATTGTTTGATTAGCTGAAATTTGGTTCTTATGTTAATTCCTTTAAGGCAAAAGGATGGATAAGGAAATGGAGAAATATATGCTTTATTTCACTCTCCATATACACACACACTGTGTGTTTACACACTGAGTGTTTACTGTGTCTCCTGTGTATGATCTTAGCATTCATAAATACATGCAGACACATCGCTCTAGGTGCTGCAGAATACCTCTTCCACTAGTCATTTTGACCCCCATGTTCTCAATTCAGCTCCCATTACGGGAAATTGCAGCACTTCATACTCCTCTATGACCTTGATGGATTTACATTAGTGGTTCTCTATAGAAAGATCACTTAGAGAGGGAAATTGGTGCTTAAAGAGCTGCACTGATTCACCCAACAGAGACGAACCGAAATGGGCTCCATACCATTTCGTTTAGCTGTATTATAGTAACGCTTTCTCGCTTGAATTTGAATGTCTCTAACGTGAACATGCAGCTTTTTTCACACATAATTCCTCATCCAGCTTGCATTCGCTCGCTTTCAACATTTTAATCCCGCTAAGGATCACACTTTCCAAATCAAGTGCTGTTTGTTCCAAAGACACAGCGACAACGTAGCAGAAGAAATCACCCACAACTGCGATATGAAGTCACACATTTTCCATCCATCTGCAGAAATCCTCCCAAACTCTGATGCCTACAAAACTGAAACATTTCAAAGAGCAACGAGTGCTTTGGTGGGAGTGAGTTCACACACTTTGTCAAATGCATTCTGGTTACCCTTCCTGAGAGCTGCCGTGGCAACCGTGTGGCTCACGTCACTTGTATCTGTGAATATTGTAGGACTTGAATATTGGATTTTCGTTAAGTTTAAGTGAATGACTGGAAGGAGACGGTTTCTGCTTTAAATCAAGGAGGTGGAAACACAGAATGTGGGGCAGCAGGAGATGACGCACACACACAGGCTGTTTCTTCACAAAGAATCACAATTAGCTGGCACAGTCCAGAGAAGAGATCCTGAGACTCAAGCATGACATGTTCATCACACAGCTACAGGTAACTTCTAAAAACTGTTTAACCTATTTTCAATCTCCAAAATGTGTTGAAACTGAGGAGGAGAAATCATGAGTTATTCATGAGATGTCCTGGTTTGGACGAGTCTCTGGGCAGCAGCCAATGGCAGGAATCGTCTCTTGTCGCAGGAAGTGTCACAGTTTTATATTTCATGTAAACAACAAAGGCATTTGTTCTGCAAGCTGCTGGCAGCTTTGGACTCTGACATTGCTGGCTTCAACTGTCTGATGAGTTCATGGAAATTTTATATTCTAGCTTTTTAAGTTGTTGAGAAGATTCTTTTTATTTGCTCAGTTGTCATATCGATCATTAGCACCATTCAAATTTAAAGTTAACCAGTTCTGTCTAATAAATGATGGTGAAATAACAACTGTTGTCCCTTACAAGTTGTACATGAAGGCATCATTTTTGTGCATTCAGTGACAGTCGCGGGTCATGAATAGAAGCAACTGTGTATGTTTTTTCATCCAATAATTCAGATATATTTCATATGTGACTATGGAGTCTTAATTGGGAGCCAAGATCTGAAAGATCTTTATATACATTAAGCCTGCATGATGTGAGAAAAAAATATGCAACATGTGATTACACCATTTAATATTGATAGAACAGTATGAGGTTTGATAACGGAGTAGGCATTCAAGAGAGTATATTAGCCATAAATCAGTTTCTATGCTCATCTGCTGTTCTACATATTTTACCCAGTATATACTGTTTGCCTCACTGCATCAAAAAGGGCGTCAAAGCATGGATTATTTACCCAGCCCAGAATCCACCGGGTTGAATGCACTCATCTTGGGTGAAAAGCATTGTTTGTTTACATGAAGTAATTATTCTTATTTATTTCAACACATTTAGAATTTTGTGTATTTTGAATGCTCATATCGCGATAACAATGAAATTGCTGCTGATAGTGCCACATTAGGCATACATAATTATTTATGAAATTACTTCAGTCTGATGCAATGTAGCTTTGTGCTATCAATAACATACAGTACCTTGCTTGCCTGTTCTTATAATCAACGAGCATTAGCTTATATGCAATGATTTGTCATAAGCTGTGTGTCAATCTTCTACATTACTGAATGGTTGGATGTGTATACATACGTCTCAAGAAATCTCTAAAGATGTCAAAATATCTCAGCCTTTTCCTAGTAACAGCTTCATCTGTGCATGTTTTATGCTGAGCAAGTCCTTCTTCAAACACCAATTCTCCAGGAAGTCACACTTATTGCAATTCTTCTTGTTCATTCGATATGAGAGACACATCCTGCATCAGTGCTCTTTGCGTAGTCACAGCTGTGAGCGAACTTGTGCCACTAACAACAAAATGATAAGACAAAATGAGATACAATGCTTATTAGGCTAAGGACTCTATCGCAGCGGAGCAGAGCTCTGCCCTTCCTCGGGAAAACTGTCTAGGGAGTTGCCAGGCAACAGGGCTAGAGCAGCCGGCGGCCCCTAAGCGGTAGTGGCATGGCAGGAAAAGTACTGTTTCACTGTCATTTTTCACAGCATTAACCCTCTAACGGGATCACTCGAGGGGGGCTGGAGCAGGAACAAGACTGGCAGAGTGTCTATGGAAAGATGGAGCAAGTTGAGCTGATGAAGGGAGAAATGGAGGTTAAGATGGAAAGAACAGGAAGAAGCAAGAAGAACGGATGGATGGACGGTAAAATGAATACATGGATATGAGGACAGGTGGAAATGTATAAATGACAGCATGGAAAATTTAAGGAAATGGATGCTGTCAAACCAGTTTACTTAAGAGATGAGTGAAAGAAAGCTACAATTAAGGGAAGAATAAATCTAGAAAGAAGAGAAAACTGGAGAGCAGTGTGGAGGAGTGAATAACTCAGGAAGAACCACCCAAAGGTCCAAAGACTGAGGTAAAGATTGGAAAGAGGCTGACTGAACTACCCACTGTAAGATGTTTCTGTAGATACAGATGCTGTCTGATCAATATGAGCTTGTACTCAAAGTTAAGAACAAACACAAGCAAGGCCTTCTCACTAAACTTTTTATCTTAGCTCATGAACTTTCCAGCTTGTTAAATGAAATGATCGGTTGCTCCTGAAAATGTAGATAAAACTGTCATGATCTTATTGATGATGTCCTTGCATGACTTGTTTTTTTTTCTTCAGGTTTGAGCCTCTGCTGTTCAGTGTTCCACTTTCATATTATTTCATATTTCATACTTTCTTATTTGAAGATTGGGAGAGCAGGCAGGAAGAAAGGACCCAGAAAGCGTGCAGAAACCGGCATAGTGGGGTAATTGTCCATATAATAGCTTCCCGACAGATTTGAACAGGTAGGCAGGTCAAAGTAATGGAAATAATGTAAAAGTAAAGGTAAAGGAGAAATCAGAAAATAATCAGAAAAGAGACAGCCAAGCCTTACCCTACATCCCTGTATTCCAAAACCATAGCTACCAGGCCTTGTTCCTGGATATGTATCTCACTCTGACAGCATGATGGCCTCTGGCCTGCTGGAGAGCAAAGCCAAGTGAGCAACAGGTGCAGGAGGAAATGAAGAGCACACTCATTGTCACCTACGGCTACTTTACACAGAGGGGTGTATGTTTGTGAGTGTGAGTGTGTGTGTGTGTGTGTGTGTGTGTGTGTGTGTGTGTGTGTGTGTGTGTGTGTGTGTGTGTGCAGCATATGTCTCTACGGGTCCCAGAGCACTCGTAATGGCATAGGACATGTGTGTGTTTGTGATGGCTTGTGTGTGTATGTATCTGTGTGTGTGTGTGTGTGTGTGTATAGATGAGCTATCAGGCAAACACTGACAGAAACACTCCATCACTCATGCTGGCTATTACAGCAGAGGAAGTTCCAGCATGGTGAAGAGATGAGGACAAAAGATAGGTGCTGTGGGTGGAGCTATGGACTGTGCGGCAGCAATTTATGTCAGTGTAATGTTTCGGAAAAGCAGAGAAAATGACTCTGATGAAAAATGACAGAGGGTAAGCCGCTCAGAATATTGCAGAGGGACTCGCTG